GCCGTACAACCAATTACATTATAAACCCTATAACATAAAGTTCATTTTAGTACAGGAGGCATACGGGGACCTTTATTGATGACACTAAGAGCGAGAAGTTTTAGTGATAACAGTTTTTGTTAAATGAATTTTTAAGGACTTCAAGAAAGTTCTCATAACAAATGCCCTATTAATTTTATGTTAGATATATTTCGCTGGCAGCAAATTCGTAATTTTTTGACGGAAATAAAACCGAAAAATCTGATGATTTATAGACAGAAAACTTGAGAAAAGCGAAATTTTTGAAAAAATGATATTAGCTTGCATGACCAATCAATGACTGATTAGATTTTGAATCTTTTAAGACTGATACTTTTTCAAACAGCCCATGCAAAGGAGCCTCAGACTTCCTCACAAACATCAATGCACAACTAGCTGGCACCAGCACATGTGAGAACGACATCCTCATTAGTTCGAATCATTAAATTTATCATGTTCCTAACTTTTGTAGGTATCACTTACTCTATTTTATTATGTAGGTAAAAAAACAACTATTTCTAATCTGTTTTGGAAGATATTTTATATTCTAGAATTAGGAACAGTGCGGCTCTATTTTACAAGGTGAAAAAGAAATGAAAGCTGATGTATGGAAGAAGCCTGTTTTGGAGAAGTATTTCGAACTCTTTGGTTCACGGGTATGCCTCCTAAACTACAGTAGCACTTTCACGAAATTTTGTAGGTAAAGACAGCAAGTTTCAAACATTTTCATGCGTGTCGGCAAGTGATATTTTTTTACGAAAATCTTAACATGAGAAATTCACGTGTGGCCACTACATTTCCACGTCGAAAAAAAATTAAAAACAGACACATCACAAATTAGGCGCAGACACGAACACTTAGCTCTAAGAACGCCGAAATATTTGTTTAACTTTTTTTCATCTCACGTGAAAAGAAATACACATATGCGGACACTTTCTCTTTCTTATGTTTTCTTCTATTATGCGCTTGACTGAATTCATTTCTCCTGTATTAGTCCCACATTGAGAAAAGTGACAAATTTGCTGATACAGTGCTGACAAAAGTAAAACAAGACAATGGCAAAAGTAAAAGTGTAGAAATCATGCAGACAATAAGCTGATCACCCAACAAGTTTCAAACCTCTTTGATTGAATGCTTCTTGAGATATACACGAACTACGTTAATTAGACGCTTACAATCAATTACCTGGGAGAATCAGACAAAGTCATTTCCGCGAACACCGAAATAATCCTGCGTGCAACATAGAAATATCCTAGTCATTACTACTACCACTAGCACATATTTCCTTTTTGTATTTCATAACCTGTGTGAATACTCAACAATACATTGATCACTCTTTCGCTGTTTATTAAGTTTCCGGTTCTTGTGACTCATTTTTACTGTCAAGATGGAAAGTGAGAAATTCAACTACCATGGAATTTCACATACAGCATTAGGCATTAAAAACACAGAAGCTAAAATGCGATCTTCTAACATGGAAAATATAACATTGATTTGGTATGATGAAAGCATTAATTCGACAGAAGACACCAAACAAACAGCTAAAATGCTTCGCCAGATAAATGATTATGTCGTTTTTCACACCAACCACCGAACATGTGCCGAATATGTTAAGTCGATTCAGAAAGAAAAGATATTTTTGATCATCTCAGGAGCCTGCTCAACAGACATTCTACCGCTTGTACATGATCTAGAACACATTGATTCAATATTCGTATTCTGCATGAAAACACAAAAATATGAATATCTACGCAATGAATATTCGAAGATCATTGGAATATTCAATGAACTATCACCGCTTATCGATTCAATCAAAGAAAATGCTAAACTCGTTGAGAAACACATACAAACATTTAGTTGCTACAAGGAGGAAAACCAAACTTCAACTCGTGATTTATCCAAAGAATCAGCAGCATTTCTCTGGTTTCAATTATTTAAAGATGTTATTCTGAAAATGCCTCAAACCGAACAGTCGAAACAAGAAATGATCAGAATATGTCGAGACTATTATCGTGGAAACAGTAAGGAACTGAAATATGTTGAAGAATTCGAAAATGAATATAAACCTGATGACTCGATTCGATGGTACACAAAGGAGTCTTTCATTCATAAACTCATTAACAAAGCCCTTCGAACAGAAGAAATCGAACAGCTATACATATTCCGACTTTTTATTTCGAATCTCTCCACTTGTCTTGGTAAGGAGAGCCAACGAATCCAACGTGAACAAGCTCCCATTAATGTGTATCGAGGAGAGAGATTATCGAATGTTGAACTAGAAAAGCTAAAAGCAAATGAAGGAAAATTAATATCAATCAACGGCTTTTTATCAACTAGTCGCTCTCATGAACTGGCATTACGTTTCGCATGTAAGCAGGCGAAAAGGACTGGTGTATTTCCCGTACTATTTCATATTCAATGCTATATGACAGGAGAATCAAGCGACATCATCTTCGCTGATATAACTGAATTGAGTCATTTCCCTGAAGAACAAGAAGTTTTGTTTGATCTAGGAGCAGCCTTTCGAATCGAATCGATTCACTTTGAAGACAAGCTTAATCTGTGGCATATCAGATTGAAAGCAACAAATGAGGGAGCCCAAATCGCACAAGAGTATATCGAACTAAACAAAAAAGATATTGATGAGAGAACTGTCAGTGTTTCGATCATGTTCGGGCGTCTGCTTGCTGATATGGGACACTATGACAAATCACAAAACTATTTTGAGAAACTTTTGACTGACTCAGCCGACGAAGATGTAGCTTCAATCTATCACAATATAGGTCGAGCTCAAAATTTTAAAGGTAAATATGACCAAGCTCTGGAGTCCTTCGTGACATCTCTCAGCATGAAAAGAAGTTTCCTTCCTTCGAATCATCCCAGTATCGCTGACACTCTGAATAATATTGGTGTGGTTTATCGTTCGAAGGGCGAGTATGATCGAGCTCTGGAGTACCACATGAAGTCTCTCGAAATGAAAGAAATTTGCCTTCCGTTGAATCATGCCAGTACCGCTGACACTCTCAATAATATTGGTCTGATTTATCAATCAAAGAACGAATACGATCGAGCTCTTGAGTACTACATAAAATCTCTCAAAATGAAAGAAATTTGCCTACTTCCAAATCACGCGAGTACCGCTGTCACGCTCAATAATATTGGTATGGTTTATGGTTTAAGGGGTCAAGATAATCTAGCTCTGGAACACTTCATGACATCTCTCAAAATGAAAGAAATTTGCCTTCCTCCGAATCATGACAGTACTGCTGCCACTCTCGAAAATATTGGTATGGTTTATCGATCGATGGGCGAATATGATCAAGCTTTGGAGTACTACATGACATCTCTTAAAATGAAAGAAATTTGCCTTCCTCTGAATCATGACAGGACCGCTGACACTCTCAACAATATTGGTATTGTTTATGACTCAAAGGGCGAATATGACCATGCTTTGGAGTACTACATGACATCTCTTAAAATGAAAGAAATTTGCCTTCCTCCAAATCATGACAGGACCGCTGACACTCTCAACAATATTGGTATGGTTTATCGATCGAAGGGCGAATATACTCGAGCTCTTGAGTACTTCAAAAAATCCCTCAAAATGAAAGAAATTTGCCTTCCTCAGAATCATGCTAGTACCGCTGATACTCTCAATAATATTGGTCTGGTTTATCAATCGAAGAGCGAATGTAATCGAGCTCTTGAGTACTTCATAAAGTCTCTCAAAATGAAAGAAATTTGCCTTCCCCCAAACCATGACAGGACCGCTGACACCCTCTATAATATTGGTCTGACTTATCAGTTAAAGGGCGAATATGCTCGAGCTCTCGATTATTGTACAAGTGGCTTGCATATCTATAAAAGTAAGTTCCATCAGGAACACCCAGTCATACGCACAATGCAGAAGACTATTCAAGGAATTAGCGAGGCCAGTGCAAAATTGCACGGAAAGGCTGTCAAGTTATTATGGTTTTTTAAATAATAAATTTTTTAATAAACCATGCTAAACAATTAAAAGTTAATGTTTTCTGTTATATTAGAATCGCTTGAACCACTTGTTTTAGATAGGGCCTAGACTTTTATGGAGGAAACAGAGCGTACACCTGCAGATGCAACATAAATTTGGCCAAATAGTGGCTTCATATGCAGTACATGTCGCTGTAAGTACAAGAAGTGGAGAAGTAGTGATGAATTTGATGGTTTATTTCGATGGATCGCAGAGAAGAAAGGATGATCTAGTAGAAGATCAAGATGCAGAAGTAAGTTTGGTCGTACTGACAAATTAAATTCTGTGCAGGTTTAGCTGTTTTTCAGGATGATTTTATGGAAACGGATTGTGAACTCGACGTCCTTTTGATGATCTTGTTACAGTTTCACAGTCCAATATATGATTCCGAGACGTTTGATAATGAGTCGAGTGCCATAACATAATCCTTGTTTGACATCAAGATTTCAAACTAACATAATGACAGCACCAGCTTCTAATGTAAGTTTATGAGGTGGCATTCCAGAAGGAGTCAAGCTGTTGAGAAGCTCCGTTGGATAATTTGTAATGTCAACTCCTTCACATTTTATTTCATCAATACTGGCATAACTGGCAGTCTACATACTACTTCTCCATTCAATGTTAAACAGTCATGGGTTTTGGAACAGAGGATCGCTCGAGTACACAGTAATATAACTTCGTCTGATCTTATATTCTCTTGATAAACAAAATCGATTGCGATATTTTGACAGATGCAAGATTCGGTAAGTTGAATTTCATTTCCATCATTTGAAGCAAGTTCACCATTTTCAAGTTTCAGGAGCCGATCTGAAAATTCTTGTTCCCGAAGTCTTATTCTCATATTTTGATGAAGTTGAATCGTTTTGAAATTTGATCAAAGGGGGATGAAAATGGTTTTTTCTAGGTGCTGGTTTTAATCACGGAGAAAAACCACATCAGACTTGTGAATATGAGCTTGATCTGAGAAGGGGCCGATTTTGCCTCTGATCGACGCCCGTCCTTTATATGACATTATAATTAGATAAAACATCTAAGGTATTATAACGCATTATATTGAAGTAGAAAACAAAAGATGGAGCAAATCGAAGTCTGCTAGTACCGCTACGTCTATCTACTCTTAGATAGTGTATCACTGTATGAGAATACGTCGAAAATCGCTCAAGATCAAAAATCTATTTTTTATATAACTCATTTATTATCTGTTTTCGTTATAACTCATTAGATAATGCATATCGTATTGTAACAAGTTAATGTCTAATAGATTACAATGCATTACTCTTTTCTATCTCATTGGAATGCGATAAGAAAATGGAACTCGGTGTAACACGACAGATATTAATACGTTACAACGAGTTAGACAATATCCAAAACGAAAATACATGGTTTTCTCATAAAGGACACATTTCCATAAAATTCTGAGACTATCAGCGATTCCTCTGGAAAAGTTGGTTCGGGAAAACTATTGCAGTAGACCTCGATTTGCTCTAGCTGTTGGGCTAGAATAAAATTTTCAAAAAAATTCTAAGTTAAAATCTTTAAATATGTGACGTATATATCGGCAGGGCTATGCATAAATTCCGCTTTTTCCAATTTCATTTTTTCTGAGCAGATTTTTGATCATGCGTACCGTCTGAAACAAAACGTTTTTCACAGTTTCTAAAAACCTAATAGGTTTCGTTAAGGTTTTATAAGTCTTACTGAACCTTAGGGCTTTTAAACTACGGTTTAGCAAAACAATTAGGGTTTTTTGTGATGATTGAAACGTTCCGTGAAGCAGGTAAAAGTCCTTGGGGTTTTTCTTTGTCTAACTCAATACACTCAAAGAAAAGGATTTATTTTAGCTTTCATTTCTGAATAAAGAGTTCGTAGATTGTGTATTAAATTGATGAACCATGTGTTAAATGTAATAGCACCGTCAAATACAGAGCTTATTAGTATACTCATGTTTATGTAAAGGATACAGAGATGGCAAACATTTTTAGAACAACTCACCACTCACTGTGAAGAGACGACACAAGACATGAGAGTGAACCACATTTCACTGTTCACGCAAGGCCTCGTTATGTTAACAACTTGGGAAGCGGGATATTGTCTGTGATTTATAGTCGAAAAAGTCATAAAACTAACGAAATGATTCGTTTTCTACCTCGATCTGTCGATAACAGTTCTTTTGTATGTCTGCTGTACTGTAAGAAGAAGGGCGTCGTGTACAAAACTCAAAGGCTTTACTAATGGGTTTAGGACTAATGGGTTGCAACGCCCTACAGGTTGACGTATTATACCGATATAATATCTAACACTTTATAAATTATAATTTATCGCATTACGCTACGTTAACCGTTCAGGCGCTGTAATGCTATACGTGACAGTGGTGATAAGTGTGCTCTGGGAATTTATGTCCTAAGTCTCAAGCCCGGACGTCTCGGGGCAACTTTTCGAGAAGAATCGTTGACAGCCCCAGAATTTTATGGAAATGTGTCCTTTATGAGAAAACCATGTATTTTCGTTTTGGATATTGTCTAACTCGTTGTAACGTATTAATATCTGTCGTGTTACACCGAGTTCCATTTTCTTATCGCATTCCAATGAGATAGAAAAGAGTAATGCATTGTAATCTATTAGACATTAACTTGTTACAATACGATATGCATTATCTAATGAGTTATAACGAAAACAGATAATAAATGAGTTATATAAAAAATAGATTTTAGAAAAGCGGGTTTTTTAGAGGAACTTTGGAAAACCAGCTTAGATTTTCCCAAATTCACATAGGAATGTATTGATCTTTTCTCATTGGCTGATAGCCCGGGTTCGCTCTTCAAAATGGGGGCAAAGTGAAACCTCGATTTTCTGCGATTCGAGCGTTGTGTCGGATTTTCGACGAGCCCTAAGACTGGCACCCGGTGACTCTTGGTAGCCTTAAAGACGGATGAACTATGGATAAATGACGATGCTGAGGCTCGTGGCAACATTTGTTTTTAGAAAAAGTTTTAAAAATACGAAAACTAGGATTTTCAGGCTGTGTTCACCTAATATTAAAAAATTCACTATTCACTCACAAAACTTCAGAGCTAGTTTAAAACTTCAGAATGTAGAGTATTTAAGCTCTTCTATATCCTGTTTAGAGGAGATCTTGAAATAACTTTTGAAAAACCCTCAGATTTTCCAAAAGGGCTTCTGGAAAAACTATTAGCAAAACTATGGTTTTCGCTTTTTTCGATCTTATAATCTCGTTTAGTGGACAACACTAATCATATCCTGAGATTATGTGCTTGTTCTGATGTTTTTCGAGTGACTAGTGAATTTTTTAAAATTAGATGAAAACAGCCTGAAAAACCTAATTGTCGTAAAACTGACTTTTCCGTCTTTAAGGCTACCAAGAGTCACCAAGTGTCAGTCCTACAGTGCCAATTATACAGTATAATTATAATGCCATATAAATTTGAAAAATCTTTTATAGCGTTGTAACTCATTAGATAATGCATATCGTATTGTAACAAGTTAATGTCTAATAGATTACAATGCATTACTCTTTTCTATCTCATTGGAATGCGATAAGAAAATGGAACTCGGTGTAACACGACAGATATTAATACGTTACAACGAGTTAGACAATATCCAAAACGAAAATACATGGTTTTCTCATAAAGGACACATTTCCATAAAATTCTGAGACCAAGTCAGATTTTTCGATAGACGGCTATTTTAAAATGTTGATACTAATACAACCAAAACGGCCAGGTTATACACCTACAAATCGTCATTTTACGCCCGATCGAGCTGAAACTTACAGCATATAGGTAGTTTTGCACGCTGATTCCCAATCAAGTGTCAAAACGAGCCTATGATGTGACACGAAAGGTTGGTTCTGCGGATTTTCGCCTAGGTAACCTATTTTTAACTTTGTTCTCAATAAATGTTTATTTCTATCATAGGTAAATAGCTATAAAATGAAAAAGCTACATATGACTATAAATGAACATCGTTAATACTCAACCCAGATTTCTTCAATATCAGACACCTGTTGAACAGTGAGTTTTACGCCACCATATCTAGTTTTTTCACCTAGCTAAGCTATTTTTACCTGGATTTTTAACTTTATTCTCAATAAATGTTTATTTCTTAGATAAATGTATTCCAAAAGCAATAGCAGTCATTCTTCTGTAAAGCTCTGTTCTATAAGCTTGTATAAATCCACCGTTCAAATTTCATAGTTATAAATATACCGAGTGCCACACTTACCCTTAAACACAATTTGCGAATTTCAGAATTACAGAACTTCAGAATTTCAAAGTTATAATTATACCGAGTGGCACAGTTACACTTACACACAATTTCAGAGTTTCAGAATTTCATAGTCATACTTATACCGTGTGACACAGTTACACTTGCCCACAATTCCGGAACTTTAGAACTTCAAAGTTAAAATTCACCCGGGTGTCACAATCACATTTAAACACAGTTTGAGAATTTCAGAATTTCAGAAATACACAATTCCAAATTTATCCTTATACCGAGTGGCACAGTGACCCTTATACATAACTTCAGAGTTTAAGAATTTCAGAGCGTCAGAACTTCAAAGTTAAACTTGAACCGAGTGTCACAGTCACATTTATACACAATTCGAGAATTTCAGAATTCCGCAGTTATACTTATACCGAGTGACACAGCTACAGTTAGAGACAATTCCAGAACTTTAGAACTTCAAAGTTAAACTTAAACCGAGTGTCACAGTAAGTTTCAGCTCGATCGGGCGTAAAATGACGATTTGTAGGTGTATAACCTGGCCGTTTTGGTTGTATTAGTATCAACATTTTAAAATAGCCGTCTATCGAAAAATCTGAC